GGATTTTATTATGTAATCAGGAGGTCCCGAGTTAGAATTCGCCTCCCTGCCACTAGGTGGATTTGTGTTGAGTGGTTCCCAATCAATAAAGCTCGTCCACGTCTTTTAAAGGGTCGAGAGGCAGCTCTCGTAAGGTCTCGCTTGAATGGCTTGATACCCTTTGAGAGAACAATATAACAAACAACAGAAACAATGCCCCTAGCCCCAAAAACTATAACGGCTGCTAACAAGCAAAAGAATTACAAGGCTACTATTCTGCTTGTAAATAGCCAACTGGTCAGCCTCCTGTTAACAGTTTTAATAAGCTTCCAGCTCTGATATATTTGCAATATTTGTTTCTTCATTTATTGTGTCCCCAATTAGTACAGCGGTGCTAAATACCATGAACTTTAATAAATCGTTTATTTTAAAACTTTTTTGCCTTTCAACTAGTCGAAGAAAAGAAAATCAGAAAATTAACTACTTTTTCTGCCTGACAATGAATTGTGTATTTTCCATGAGTTACCTTCCGATCCTCTAAGGTACAACCGTCACATTGGTCAGCAACATATACTGTAACCTCGTATTGATCTGTCGTCTGTTAAAACAAAATAAAAATTAGGGAAATCATTACAGAGGTTAGGAGTGGTTATAAAATGTTAACCATAAAAGGATGGATGGTGCTATCCATTGGATGAATCAACATCTAGACAAGGGCTGTGTCAGTGGAAATATCTTATGGGTTTGGGCAAATTGGACGAGGACGACAAGATTAACTAAATGTGTCCACCAAGTTTGAGTCGACTTATGGGTTATTTTATGGACACAGGTTCGCATACTGTTATAGCCAGTGCCGTGTATTTGAGATAGACAGTGTGTCTAGCAAAATGATGGTGCACTAAATTTGATCGAGAAACAATGAGAAATACAAAGCTGGTGCTAGCCCGCAATGCAGGGGTATTTTGGCAAAAAAACAAAAAAACATCTTTGATTCAAACTCGGACGACGCTTGGGAAGAGACGAAGAGGTGGCCGGGGGAGTAGTTAGGAGCGAGGCCACAGCAAACAAGGCGGTGAATCTACTCGATCGATCGCGAGGTAATACCCATAAGTCGCGATCACACAAAAAAACGCCAGCATTGCAGGCTAAGCTGGGCTACACAATTGTCTCTATATCAGAATGACGACTGAACTGCGCTGTCTCCAGATTATGATCAACAACCCGGTGCACGCCATTTCACCGATTTCTCGCGCAATTTGCTTCATCCTTGGCAAAGTAATTGTCATTTTCCAACTCACCTCTGTGTCGAGTTCTTTTTGAAGTGTCAAATTACCAGTGTTGTCAATCTGGAGCAGATCCTGAACCGAGGAATCCAGCGAGAAGACCATGGGATCATTGTCATTGTCTGTAGCTCTTATAATAGCTACGGATGAACCTGAAGTGGTAAGGGAAGGATGAAAACGGTTTTTTATGGAAACTGCATGGGACACAGGCATTTTACTTCAAGATGAATAAAACACCCCCTCCCCTTCAAAAAACAAACAAACAAACAAACAAACGAACAAGCCTTCTTTCTTCTCTTTAACATATTGTAGCTGGAGGTAAACGCCCGTTGTTTTAAATCTTTTTTTTAATTATTTTTTTTGTTTTCTTTTTTTCTTTTTCAGGCTGGTTTCGACTTCTGGACTACTCTGGTTCTTTAGTAGATTGCATTTTGACGATTGATTTTTTGAATAGTTTTATGCGCCATTATGTGGTATTCCAATTCAACTTATTTCGCTCACTCTATGATCGATCAATCAATCAATCAATCAATCTATATATCAATTAGTCAGTCAGTCAGTCAGTCAGTCAATCAATCAGTCAGTCAGTCAACCAACCAACCAACCAACCAATCAATCAATCGATCAATCAATCAATCAGTCAATTAATCAATCAATCAATCAGTCGGTCAATCCATGAATCAATCAATCAGTCAATCAGTCAGTCCATAAATGATGAATGGTGCTATCCACTGGATGAATGAACGTCTAGACAAGGACTGTATCAATGGAAATATTTTATGGATTTGGGCAAACTAGACGAGAACGACAAGAGTAAGTAAATGTGTCCACGAATGTGTACACAATCAATCAATCAATCAATCAATCAATTAATCAATCAATCAATCGATTAATCAATCTATCTATCTATCAGTCATTCAGTAAGTCAGTCAGTCAGTCAGTCAGTCAGTCAAGCAGTCAATCAATCAATCAGTCAATTAATTAGTCCATAAAGGATGGATGGTGCTATACACTGGATTAATTAACATCTAGACAAGAGCTGTATCAATGGAAATATTTTATGGGTTTGGGCAAACTGGACGAGAACGACAAGATTAACTAAATGTGTCCACGGATGTGTCCACAATCAATCAACCAACCAATCAATCAATCAATCGATTAATCAATCAATCAATCAAATAATCAATCAATCACTCAGTCAATCAATCAATCAATCAATCAATTACTCAGTCAGTCAG